CCCCCCCCCCCCCCCCCCCCCCCCCCCCCCCCCCCCCCCCCCCCCCCCCCCCCCCCCCCCCCCTTAAATGAATAAAGTTTAAACTATATAGAATAAAGAAAAAGAATGAATTTCATTCTTATTGTATGTAATGTTTCTTTTAGTATGCGCGCTAGATATAGAGACTTCTAGTATATAGAAGATGACAAAAGACTATAACGATAACAGAAAGAGAAAAATATAGAATAAGGATAGTGAATCGTAACTGGTGATACAGGCTATGTTCACTCTACGAGTTAAGCAGCTTAACTTTTTCGGCTTAAGGATTCTGATTGGTGCCTTTACGAAGAAAAAGTTAGAACACCAATCAGAATCCTTAAGCCGAAAAAATTAAGCTGTTTAACTCGTAGTGTGAACATAGCCACAGTCTGTAATTATCAGTGTGTAATACAAAATGATAGTGGTCATTAGGAAAAAAAATTGTTAGACCTCGCCTTAGGGTCCACCTGCAGTAAACCTGCAGGGCAGGGCAGTGCAGAAGTTTCCACCCTCAACCTCTGCCTGTGCAGAACAAAAGATTTTTTTGGTAACCTGCAAACTGCAACGTGGATAAAGTTTATTTTGCCCCTGCGCGGCATCGCGCAGGGGTGAAAAATTATGCAGGTGATCAGCTCTGGTGTAGACATTAATAAATATAAGAGTTATAATAACAAGTACCACTGGTAAATGTGTTTCATTTGGATAATCAGTTATTGTTATTATTGTAGTATTTGTTGTTATAGGTAATATTTTTCTTGATCAAATTTTACAAATATTTCATAAAATAAATGTATCACTTGTTAACATTAATAATGATGTTATTGTAACATACATAAAAAAATAAACTATAGAATAACTTAAATTTATATTTTCATTAATAATTAAGCATCCACCAATATCTTCTGATACATAAGAATCACATAATACAGAGTTTAAACCTAAAAAAATAATTAGAGTAATTGATACAGTGATAATTAAATAGCGTCAATGTTCCTATGGTAAAAAAGATAAAAATTGCAATTTTCTACCATGGTGATAAAATTTACATGTAAAATAAAGTCGATCCGATGTTGCTAGAACTAACATCCATATAGATACTTGTGATGAATAATAAAATATAATTTACATAATGATGTATTTCGATTTCTTAATTGAATATGATCAAAATGTTTTGCCAAACGATTTGCCGTCCCGTCCATACAATCAATGCCAACTTATCAAATATGGTTAAAAATACGCAATAAAATGAACATGAAAAAACTTTTAAATATGATTGTGTAAATAAAAGAATATTTAATATATATTGCCAGTTGTACCACAACAAATAAGTAAATTAATGTAGGATATTTGTGATGCGGGTGGAATTAAACTGTTATCATATTCGATGGTTGAAACATTTGTATCATTCATGTTACTTCATGCATATCGACGGAGCAATGTGCGCTCTTCAAAGAAAACCTGATATATATTATATATACAATATATATGCAACATGCTGCGGCAGATGCCCGATGATTTTTACTATTGTAAACAAGGAACTTTTTATTAATAAAAACTTTATTAGCGACATATTTATAGCTGAATGTTTTCTCTGTGTTGTTTCTCTGTATTGTTACAAGAAAACGAAGTTCATTTCTATGACGTGTTTCCATTGCTAGACGATCTCATACCACCACCATCTAAATTAAAGTGGAGCATTTTCTTCCGAATACTCTCTCCTCATGAAAATAGATAGATTCGTCTCTTCGCATCGGTTCGCATAGTTCTCAACTGAATTTGCCGCTATTTTTGCAAATTCGTAAAATATGAATTAATCTCAAGGACAAGACATTTTTCTATGAAGTTAAAAATAGATAGAATCGTCTCTCCGCATCGATTCTCATACTTCTAACCTGAATACGCCGTTATTTTTACGAATACGTAAAAATCCAACGAAGCACGTTTGACTTGTTGTGTAAAATACTCACGGCCATCCTCACTGCCTCCCCCCGCATATGCACACGAGAAGGAGAGAGATTCGTCACTATTTTTTTTCGCGAAAAACTATCGATGAATCGGTGAAAGAATTGATCCGACGAGACGAATCTATCTATTTTTAACCTCACAGAAATGCCTCTTGTCATTGACATCAATTCGTAAAAATAACGGCGAATTGATATGAGAAGTATACGAACCGATGCGAAGAGACGAATCTGTCTATTTTTAACCTCATAGAAAAATTTCTTGTCCTTGAGTCAATTCGCATTCTACAAATTTAAGAAAATCACGGCGAATTGAGGTGAGAAGTTGTGAATTTACGAATTCGTCGGATATGCTTTGGCATCTACAAATTCGTAAATAGAATTCGTATGTTCACATTTTGTCGTATTTTTGCCCATTTATGAATTCGTATACGAATTCTTGGGGACCAAAAAGATCATTTCACGAACTCGTTGATAGTCGACCAATTCGTTTTACGAATTCGTGGGTACCCGAAATGCCTTGCCTACGAATTCATCGTAGTTTACGAATTGGCAAGAGGAACAAAAGAGTCACCTTTTTGGCTATTTTTTCATTATTTTTGCTAATTCGCATCAGTTCGCAGTGAATTACGAATTCGCTGCAAATTCGCAAAACAATGGTAAAATGCGAATTATTTTTATCATTTTTACGCTCAAATATTGCGATTCGTCAATTCGTCTTTAGGCACTTTGTTCACACTAATGCTACCATTAGGTTTGAGACTGTCAGAAATGAATGAAAACATAGGTTACCGACTATGCTGAATCTCATTTGATATTCGATGTATCGTACTTTATATCACCAATTGAGGTTTCAGATAGTGAACCATCAGCATCTGATGATGAACGACCAGTTGGTGTTGATAAAATAACATTAGGAGATTCATCCGATGATAAATCATTTATTTCGATCATCCCTAGAGATCGATTCTTATATAAGAATCTTACCAGAAACCTATAAGTCTCTTATCAGTATCTTATCTGATTCTTATAAGAATCTTATCAGGTTCTTATATAAGATTGTTTAAGATTTCCCATCGAC